TTTCCATGTACATCACAAGGTGGTGTCACAGCAGAATAACATATATAGCAGGATTCGAGGAAGGGTACCAGATAAACCAAGAATATCTGTTTTTATACCACTACCCAACAATTGATCCAGAAACAAATCGCGAGGACCGGTGTGCGAAGTAAACAGAACTGTGAGCAAAGAAGTTGTTTAATTGACCCAACTTTTAAGCTCCGCAGTTGAATCAGACAGATTTTCAGGTATCACGGGAAGAAAGAGGTCAGATTTTCAATATACTTAAGGCTTTGAATAATAACAGCTAAGGTCCGTGCCCTGTTGTCGGACAGAGAGATTTCTTGATGGCAGGTGCATAGACAAAATGATCGCAAAAAGAGTGGGAGCACGATGAGGTACAGGGAGGGAATAGACAAAATAATCACATAATAGGAGCATGTGTCTCACGGTACTTATCTGGTCTGACTACTGCTTCAATATATCAAATGAAGTCTGTTCTCCAGTCATAAGGCTTTGAACGCGGTTCGGGATGCCCCCTACTTCTTTTCACGACAAATGCTGCCATATATTTCGGACCTCAAGGATCCACCTCGAAGCACTCCACAGGATCAAGGAATATGGACAAACTGCTCAAAATCCGAACCAAGGCTGCTGTTCCGTGAATCGACCACTTCCTCGGATGTTTCACTTACCCTGGATAATTCATTTCACTCTCTGATGCACCGATAACCCGGTTTTGTCCAGACTGCAAAACATTCAAAGGCTGCGTTGCTTTTAAAGTAGGTCACCATCATGGTTACTTCCGACCCCTTCCTGGGAAATTCACTGTTCGCCAGGGTCAATGGTGCCTACATCAATTCAGTTCATTTAACTTTCAGATGTTTACGTTAGAATAATACACTCTGAATAAAATGATTACCGTCATTGTCTTGTATCTTTGCTCCGGAGCGAAGCAGAGGCATATCTTGTTGCTACAAATTATGATTGGACTTGGAACTCAAAACCTCGACGCTGAGCTTACACACCGGCAAAAGGAATATCTTGACTTATGTCAATATGTTAGTAGAGAGTAGATAAACTCGAAGAGAAATTACAGCTTGCGGATTCTTAGTAATTTAACTGTGTGCCAAGACCGGCATGGAAGCAGCCACAATCAGAAGCCCTTTTTGGACACCACATGTTTATTCTTTGTCCGCGAGTACTGAAAGGACTGCTGAAATATCAACTTTCAACAGGCCTATTGACCTAGGTCAATGCCTTCTCTTTCTAAAATTTACAAAAGTCTTTGTTTCAAATGACGTATTGACCTAGGTTAATATCCCGTTTGAAACAAACACTATTGTAAATTTCAGAAAGAAAAGATATTGACCTAGGTCAATACACCTGTTGAAAGTTGATATTTCAGCGATACTTTCAGTGCTCGTGGACAAAGAATAAATACGCGAGTCCTGAAAGGGCTTCTGATTGCGGCCACTTCTGCGCCGGTTTTGCACACAATTAAATTACTAAGAATCTGCAAGCTTTAATTTCTCTTCAGGTTTATCTACTCTCTGCTAACATATTGACATAGGTCAAGATAATCTTTTCGCCGGTGTGTTACCCGGCACACATCTCGGATCAAAAGCACAGCATCCCATCAAGTCCGCGGCAAATCTGCTACAAGTGCCGTTGGAGTGCTGTGCAAATCCCACGCAAGTGCCTTGCAAGTGCGTGTCGGATGCCACACGGTTGCCATTATGGCAAGTGCCCCAAGCTTTGCCCCCTGTGTCAAAACCCAGGCTACTTCGCCCCTTGTAAGGTACTGGGATAGATTGACTTTATCTCGCTGGCTTAGCTTCTCGGTATTTTCCAGAGCAATTTTCTCGGCTTCTTCCTGGTCTTCTGGGTCTGCAAGGCCCTCGGATTGGAGGTTTTTGTGGTAGGTTTTTGCAAGCTCTGCCATTCTGTCTGAGCGCTTCTCATAGATCGGGGGATTGAACCGGGTACTTGAAGGCTGAATGTTGTATCCCGTGGCTTCTTTTCCTTATTCTGAGAAGTCCAGTGGTTGGTGGCAGTTGATTCGCCATATAGGCGGTTCCTTGCCGCAGTGTTGTCGCGGATTTTCTGGAACCTGATTCTCTCAGTGGCATCAAGCTTCTCCTGGATGCCTGCGCTTTCTTCCTTGCACTCATCTCCCCCCATTAATGGGTCATTCAGGACCTCCTCAAGGTCTTTTTTCATGTCTTTGATATCCGCATCCATTTTGGAGCTCAAGATCTTTGCCCTCTCCCGGAAGGCGAGTGTAATATCATCCTTGAAACTCTTGAATATTGTCTGGGGGTTCTCGGTTTCAGTGCGGTTGTTCGTGGCAACTTCGAGACGGAACTCGGCAAGTTTTCCAAGATCATGTACCTGGCTCATAACTTTCTTGTCTTTCAGCAGATATAGCGGCATTACCCAGCGTCCTTTACCAATGAAGGGCATTTCTGGGTCGGAGAATCTCATCGATACAAGTTGGTGGTCTGTATGAATTCCGGATGATTCAATTATCCAATCTGATGAGTTATTTAGGACCCGTTCTGTAACAAGAATCCTGTCAATTCTAGATTGAGAGCCTGTTGCGGACTGAAGGAAGGTATATCCTTTTGTGTCTGGATAGGTGCGTCTCCAGCCGTCTATGAGTTTGAATCTATTTTTCAATTCTTTCATTGCTTGTGTGGGAGCATCGTGATCGCTATGATGAGGAAGTCTGTCAATCGGGTCTTCCACCATGTTCCAGTCTCCAAGGCAGATATACCTCATGTATTAAGCAGATCCTTCGTATCAGTATGCACCTGTTTGCAGTCTTCCATTTTCCCACTCCCTGGTCAGCAGTTCCCGTATGTGCGTCCCATTCCCAATTTGATTTTCGGTGACCTGTGCATCAGAAATTAGCTTCGGTCCAGGCCGCTGGATGCTCCACCATGTTATTTTCGACCTCGCCGATCTGCCGCTCTACTTCCGTTCAAAAGAGACGTCCATTTTCTGTCGCCTCCTTCCCTTCTCCCATCATCTCTCTCCGCCGCACCAGATTCTGTCGCTCTTTTCAGCCATATTTTACTTAGCAAGAGATGGCAAGCATCAAGCTCTTCCACCGCACTAAAGCTGTCCTCTCCCTTTGAGAAGCTGCTGAATGTCCTTCATCGGATGGATCAAGCTCTGAACAAGAGGCGGCGAGCAGCAACTCCAAGAACTACACAATGCTGGATTCCTTCGTTTCACCACTCGAAACTTGCTACTACCTTTCCCCCATCATCGCTGCATCCAGCCACTCTCCTCCCTTTCTCATCCCGCGCTCAACGGCCGTCTTTGCACAAATCAAGCCATCCCCAACATCCGTCGAGTGTCAAGACCGAAGAAACCAAGAATCAAGACTACGCAATGCTCGTTCGCAATCTGCTTCCAAATTCTACCAGCAATCAACGCCTGGACTGCATCTCCAGAGCGGGTTTTATAATAAAGGGCTGCTCTACTTTGCCTCCCTCTTCCGTTCTCACTCCCCCATCTCTCCCGCCGTTCTATATCCATGTTTCCCCGAACGACCTGCTTACGCTCACATCGGGATATCCATATTGTTTCACCCTCTCGATAGGTCGGACTTGATTGGACTCGGGAACCAGTTACTTTACGTGCCAAGGTGTGTTCCACGCATACATCATTTGCTGACACACGCAATTTCCCCGATGCAACCTTCTCTACATTCCTCTGCGCCGGCCGCAAATTCGATTCACGTTCCTACAAGTATGCTGTCTCTCATTTGTTTCTACATTTTGCTGATATGGTTGGCCGTAAGATATCCAAACTATCATCGAGGTGCGTTTGATCCACACATTATATCTTACTCCCTACGCAGACAAACGATTTCCCAGGCGTGACCTTCTTCACATTGGCCTGCGCGGGCCGTTATTCACATTCCCGAGTTACCGTGAGCCCGAAATTGGTATGGTGCTGTTTCTACAGCTGACGATCCACCGGGATAGATATTCTGGTTTACTCAGCAACTTTGCTAGGTTCAAACCTTGCGTATTGCATCATACATCTACGCATCCGTGTTGCTACCGCTATATTCATTCGGGTTTTCAGCCTCCCGCACACCTGCCAATACCAACTAACCCGTCTAATTAGACGGGTCATGTCCCCCTTATGGCGTGTCTAACTAGACAGAGCTCAGGCCAAAGGTGCCCCTCCGATACCCCGTTGCGACCAGCGTGACATAACGGGACATTTTCACCGCCACCCCATGGAAAGCTCCACAGGCGGGACATGTCCCGCTTAAGGGGGGGGGGGGGGGGGGGGTAACGGTGTCGACCGTGGGTGGGACATAGAGCGTGGCTGGGTTGGGGGGAGAGCTACGCGTGGTAGCGGGACATAACACCAAGCGGGACTCTGACCTGCCCCCTTGAGGGCCATTAAGCGGGACATAAGGAACACCAAGGGGTAAGTGGGACATAAAGGACAGGTATGGATGGTAGCAGGACAGTGGGTAAGCGGGACATAAGGAACATATGAACTGTAGCAGGACCGACGGGTAAGCAGGACATAAAAAACAGGTATGAAGGGGAGCAGGACAGAGGGTAAGCAGGACATAAAGAACAGGTATGCATGGTAGCAGGGCAGAGGGGTAAGTGGGACATAAGGAACAGGTATGGATGGGAGCAGGACAGAGGGGTCAGTGGGACATAAGGAACAGGTATGGATGGGAGCAGGACAGAGGGATAAGCGGGACAAAAACGGAGACCCTCAAAGGTATGGCCACAGTGGCAATCAAACCCACGGCACCTCAATCTCATGAGATCATTCAATCAAGGAGTGTTACCATCACACCATGTTGCCACAAAAAAAAATTATTTTTTCCTGTAATGCCAATAACTCTGATTTCCTGCGCTACTATCCAACTGAAACGGGACATCTGTCCCTCCTCACCACCCGCAGTTGCATTGAAGTGGGACACTTAGATGCCGTGGCGTGGGACAAAAAAAAAATAGGGCCAAGCCAGAATATGTCCACAGTAGGAATTGAACCCACTTCACCTCGATACTCAGCATGAAATGATGATACATAATCAAGGGTTGTTACCATTACACCATGTGGACGATACAAAGGAAAAAAAATGAATATCCCTCAGGAGCAGGGCCCCATTGGGAATCAAACTCAAACCGGCTGCTAAGATCGACTCGATAGTATTATTTTGAGCAGCTGTACATACCACTATACCATAGGGCCATCATCAACCTGTCTTTGAGTGAGGGTTTTCCCGTATGTCGATCGCATTCCATCAATTTGTCTTCCTTATGTCCCGAATCCGGATGAACTCTTGTGTCCCGCTACCATCCATATCTCCGTTCCACCTCCTGCTTATCCCGGTGTCCCGCTACCATTTCCTTATGTCTCGCTTAACCTTGTGTCCTACTACTTCCATATGTCCCGCTTAACCCTGTGTTGCTGTCACACTTCATTTGGACGCAGTGGGGCGGGACAAATACCACGAAGATCGGTTTAAAATTACAAGTCCCAGTCACTCTTGGGACGCAACATAAATCAAATGCAACTCCTCTGCCAACTGCTCTTCCTCCACGATGTCGCCTAAATCGTCATCAATCTCCCGCTCCACATCCCGTATTCCCATGATCTCCATCGCCCTAGCTAAATCAATCGCAGTGGCCTCAGCATTGGTTTGTGCAGGCTCCTCAACACCCTCCATTGGCTCGACATTCTGGCCGCATGGATTCAATGCGACGCCCGGAACAAGTGTTCCTGTAAATCGGGGTCCAGCCTTGGCCGCTAATTTGTTCAGGCGTCGGAGATGGATGTCGTCATAGTGTTTGCGCTGTCACCGATGCCGTCGAACACACCAGGAGAGGCCTGGGTCTGTCTCGGCAATCTTCTTCTCCCGGGACTCCAAGAACTCCCGCTCATCCCTGATGTAGGTCACAAGACACCGTATTTCGATGTCGCACCACAGAATCTCCTCCCTGGCACGTTCAATCTTGAAGTAGGTGTCCATGAGGAGCCTGGCCACAGGGTCCACCCATGGCCGGACCTCAACCCCCCTCTCTGGATGGTGAAGGAGGTTGAAGTCTGAGAGGAACCCATATTCCACGACCTCCGACCAGGTAAGCTTCCTCCCAGGTGGTACCATGGCGGTGTGAGGCTGGTGCTTGTGCTACGCCCTGCACACCGCCTCACGGCCCCTTCAACCGAGTCCAGGACGAGAACATACGAGGCGCCCGTCCATCCAAATCGGGAATCGAAGTTACCAAATCCGGTTTCTCATCAAACGCACGCAGCTTACGCTCCCCATCCGACCCTTGGCATCGCACGTACCACCCGTCCGACCATGGTGTGAGCACCACTGAACGCCCTCACCGTCCGAATTCCCTTTCCACGAGTTCGTACCCCGCATACGAGCGCGGCGCCGCGTGCTACGTCCCACGAGAATGGTACGGTCCATCCAATGGTGGGCATCCTAGCCTTGGTATCCACCTCCCACGCCCGGGAAGTCATCAACACTCGAACGCAAGCCTCGTCCGATCCAGTTTCCACTCACTTAAACCACTCGAAACCCATTCAGATGCGTCCTAACGTGTCTTCCGACCAATAGCTGACCTTTTATGGCCCAGGAATCCGCTCTGCCATGGAACAGGTCCTGCGTCCGTACCGATTTGCGTCGTACGCTCCGTCCGTTCTCGGAAACGGACCCCAAAATACGAACGTAAGCCTCGCCCATGGCCCCAAATATTGAACGCACCCTACGTACGTTCCTGCGCGAGCACCCTCAAACGGGAACCGAACGAGTGGGCATCAAGGGGACGGTCGAGAGGCGAAAAGGTATAAAAGGATAGCAGAAAAGGGCGTTGTAGTCAGTCAATTCTTGGAGCTTAGTTCTCCCCCACCACCTGTACCCCACCTGTGCAACTAAGTCTCGCTCACACCGAGTTGACCACATCCTCACTTGCCTCTAGCAGGGCATTTCACTCTCACACCTCCTTTCGCAAGGTCCCAACTCATCGACCCCAAGTCATATCATCGGGCTTCCCCGTAATAGGATCACCAACTTCGCGAGCTTCACGCTTTGTAGAAGTCGGCCTGGGCGAAGCCATATTGGTTTAAATCGCCGTCTGCCACCCAGCGTCACGACCAGACGTCCAATACGTTCGACTGACCAGCACCAGCCGGCGTCGCTGTCACTTGCTTTATAACCGTAAAACTTGTATTAAGCCTTCCACCTTCGTTGGGAACATCGGGGAAACACGAGGGAAGGATTGCAGCATAGGCATCGGATTTTACAGGAAACAACACGTCGTTCGCTCGAGCTTGTGACCTAGGACAGGTAACTATTACCCCCACACCCGTTTACAGCTAACAGCAGGTACCCCCAACATGAAACCACGGAACGGACGCCTCGTGCGATCCCATGCAACACCCTCATTCGGACAGCGCACACGTCCCAATCCTACATCCCCGCTATCCTCCAACGTTAATTAACCCCTAGAGGCCGAACGGGCTGTCTATTTGATAAAACATATTCTCATAGCGGCACCGCGGTCCTTATCACAACTGGAGCCCACCGCGAGGGGTTTTTACCGTGGATTTTAGACGGAGAAGGACACTAGACCGTGCCAATACATCGGCAAACACGCCCTCACGAAACTTGCGTAGCAGAAGAAACGTGCTACAGGAGATAACCCTTGCAGAAAACGACCCTACCACCTCAGTATCGACAGCACCCGCGGCTCTCGTACCCTCATCCAGCAACCACCAGAGGAAGAATCACCTCTTACTTCCATTCCGTCTTCACCAGAGACGCCCACCGACTCTCTTTCTCCCGAGACTTCATTAGACTCGGTTCCTACAACCACCGACCTATCCAATACTCTTTCATCGGAGTCTACCCTTTCAGACTCGCCTTTACCCGACTCTCAACCTACCCCTATCTGGAAGCAGATGACGAAAATGTTACCTGGACGTACGGCCCGCGGGGCTCCCGAGTTCGATGGAAAGGCCCTTAGCCTTAAACGCTATTGGGAGGATGTCGAGGAAGTCGCAGAATCATGCGAAAAGACCACTGATGCAGAAAAGATAAAGGTCGCCTTCCGATATATTGATCGGGAGGATGAACTTCTGTGGAACGGAAGTATCACAGCAGGCCAAGCGGTCACGTGGACCGAATTCAAAACGAAGATCCAAGAATTGTACCCAGGCTCCGATGGCCATAAAATCTTCACCACGAATGATTTAGACGCGTACGTCACTGGTCGGGCCTCGAAGACGATTAAAACGAAGGACAACTTTTCCGAGTATCATCGAAAGTTCTCCACCATCGTGAATCACCTAATCACGGAGGGGAAAATGACAGACCTCGAGGCACGGAAGGAATTCCCAAAGGATTGGACGAAGATTTTCGAGGACGTGTTTACCGCCGCCTCCAAATCACGAAGCCAGACCACGCTAGCGATATTCCTGCACGACATAGCCGATGTGGTGAAAGCAGGGCAATATATCCTGGAAGGCCCTAAAATAGGTGGAGAAGTTGCCGACACTTCCTTCATAAAGAAGGAAATGGTGGATCTAAGTGACGCGTTCGCGAAGATGAACCAACGATACCATGTTGACATGCAATCCTTAACCCAGGCCCTAAACAGGAATATTCCTCCTCAGCCCCGCCAAGCGTACCCCATGTACACCACCACGGCTATAGACGCTGTCCCGCCCCCGGTCTATCCAGCTCCCGCTCCACAACCCATCTCGTACCAAGGACCGTATGGTCAGCGAGACAATGGGTATCAGCAGCGCGATAACGGGTACCAGCAGCGCGACAACGGGTACCAGCAACGCGACAACGGGTACCAGCAACGCGACAACGGGTACCAGCAGCGCTCGAATGGCTATCAGCCAAGGCAGCCGTGGAACGGATGCGATAATGGTCCACCGACGCGTGTAACTATGTTCCTTCCAGGCGAATGTGGCTTCTGTTCAGGGAGCGGACACTTCGTACGAGAGTGCCCCTTGCAGACGATTACATCCGCCAAGGGAAATGTTTCCGCAATGCGGACCTTAAAATTGTCCTTCCCAACGGGCAGTTCATACCCAGAGGAGTTCCGGGCAGGAACCTAGTGGAGAAGATCAATAGGTGGATTTCGGACAACCCGCCAGTTCAACAACCAGCTCCCGCTCCGCGACAGGTGCAGACGCAGGCCTTTGAAAGAGACGCGCCGCCTCATGCCGCGGCAGCCATGACGTTCACCAGTTGTTCGCCCACTCAGACCTTGGCGTTTGGATGCACCCAGAGTGCGACCATCGAAGAAGTCGAGGACGAGGAAGGGACGGTTCTGATAAATGAAAGGCAGGCACCGAAGAAGAAGGCGGTACCCGAAGTGGTCATCCAGAAGAAGGGCCCACCGAAATCCGCGCTTAAAACGATAACGGACGCAGCGCCCGATCCTAAGACAATCCAAAAACCGCAGCCAACAACCGTTGATGGGAAGTTCCCACCACCGCCTCCCGCGTTCAAATACCAGGCACCCATTGAGAACCCGCTCCTCGTGAAAAGCGTGATCCAGCGAGCCCTAGGTTCGCAGATCTCGATCTCTAACGAGGAGTTGTGCGCAATCTCACCAGACTTCCGCAAATATTGTCGGGAAAACACCGTTACCAAGCGAATTCCCACGGTTGAAACTGGGATCTATGCGGAACAGGAGGCGCTCGTGATGAATTACGGAGGAATAGAGGGTTCCCCAACCACACTCCTTACGGCCTCTCCCATCGATTCTCTCCGCGTTCTCGACCTGGTAATAAACGACACCCTACCAGTCGTGTGCACCCTTGACCAGGGATCGGAGATCGTTGCGATGAACCGCAATATTTGGCAGCAGCTCGGAATCCCCCTTGCGCCCGACAAGACGCTCACGATGGAATCAGCAGACTCCAATAGATCCACGACGGCCGGTGTGGTCGAGGACCTCAAATTCACAGTAGGAGACATTGATCTCCTGCTCCAAGCGCACGTAGTGGATGGGGCCCCGTTCGACATATTAATGGGAAGGCCCTTCTTCCGATTCACGGAATGTCATACCAAGGATTGGTCAGACAGCACGCAGGAATTAACCATCACCTGCCCGAATACCAAGAAAGTGCTTTCCGTTGCAACCAGGAAAAAGCCTCCGAAATCGGTGACTTTCACGGACACGAACTACACGGCCGTTGATGTCTCCGACGTGGATTTT